CTGAGCCACTCTATCAACTTTGAACATAAACCTAACCAGATAAAGTTACAACAGGCATTAATCTAGCAAAGATGAGACTTGTCGCATTCAATAGTTGACGGCCCAGCCAATCTACTCTTGAGGAGGTCCCCTTGTGGAGATGGTCCACGGCCTCCTAGGCCTCGACCACGGCCCCTTCCTCCATCACCTTCTGCATATGAGATTAATAAGATAACATTGCTTAGTGGTGATTAAAACCATATTCAGAGAGGAGTTGGGCAACTGGAAAAGAATTATTCAAAGGAATGCCAGTTTATAATATCATCACTACTTTCTACCGAAGTCAAAGCACAGTATTAAAGATTTAATAAGTAACAAACATATTAACAATGCACCAAGAAGAGAATGAACCCATACTTAACTATTAGACAAATGCAGAGCACCTATAATATAAGTATATATTATGCTCCTCTAAAGATATCTCAATTTGTTGAGGCTCTCATATGGCCAGAGTTGTTCATCAGTAAATCTTTTGTGTCACTTCAATTGTCAAAATCAGTGAATTTGTTTCTTGTGCAGCTGTGGCAGCATCTTGAGACCTAGTACAACTGCAATTAACTAGGCAGGGCAAAGCAAAGCTAGCTTGCTCGGTCCTTTTCGATCGACTTTCAAGGTGAAAAAGCAAGCAGACAGGAAACACCACTTGCACAATAACATCCACAATAAGCTAGGTGCAACATATGGAACATTCTTGTTTTCTTCATATTACACTACAGGTGACAGGCCTCAACATGCCCTGCCACTTAATGTCAGACAAAACGCGCTGACTATATCTTTGACAGATTGGGCAGTAAGTTTATCATGCCGTGCCCAAATTCGACGAGCATAAATACATCAGGTGTGGTGTACAGGTGGACGGTAACCACAGGGAGACATTGTCCACGACGTACTATTCCCAAGGCGTCTACCAGTTCAAGAATCAGAGTCACTTTCTGTATCGGAATGCACGTCAAACGGTATTATTTCCGTTCGTGTTTGCCTCAAGTGGCGGCATATCATCATCCTCATCTCTATCCTCATCAGAGTTGTGCAATGTCGTTCCTTCTGGCCCTGTCACCCACCCATTGGGACTTGACTTGAAGATAGCCGGCCTGGCATAACAAAGATGAGTTAATCAGGGGCACCCAATCGAGAGGAAGGATGACAAGCTAACAATCCTGATTTTATCAAGTAGATAGACTACTGATGCAGAGCTCATACGAAAGCACAAATAAAAAAGATGGAATTAACCAGTCCAGTCCCGAGTTAAGTTATAGGATCCATGAGTTGAGCAACAGTTTCAACAACAACATTCCTTCCACTTGTTGGCTTGTACCTCAACTGCGATTGGACAGGAAACACTTGCAGAAAGGAACAAGAAACAGGGGGAAAACAAGAAACTAGTAGTAGTAGTAGTAGCACTCAGCTGAAATGTTGGAAAACTCTTCTTGGTGGTCACAATTGTACCTACTATAACATGCAGAAATAACAAGCAGCATATGGAACAAAATCTTGTTTTCTTCATATTACAGCACAGGTGACGACGACAAGCTTTGTCATGCCCTGCAACAACTTAATGTCGTACTACAAACTCACTCAGACTTTATCTTTGACAGATTGGGCAACAAGTCTATCATGTCCTGCCCAAATTCGACAAGCATAAATACATCAGGTGTGGTGTACAGGTGGATGGTAACCATATATAGGATGACATACATCGTCCACGGCTCCTATTCCCACGTCGTCTACCAGCTTAAGAATCAGAATCACTCTCTGTGTCAGAATGCACGTCAAACGGTCTATTCCTGTTTGTGTTCGCCTCGAGTGGTGGCATATCATCATCGTCTTCTTCTTCTTTGGAGTTGTGCTCTTCCTCAGCCTGCGATGTCGTTCCCTCTGGCCCTGTCGTCCACCCATTGGGAGTCGACTTGAAGATAGCCGGCCTGGCATAACAAAGATCGAGTGAATCAGTAACAACCCTGGTTCCATCAAGTAAACTACCCGATGCAGGGCTCGTGCGAAAGCACAAACAACAAACTGGTATATTATTATTAGAAAGGCCTCCTAGCTAGGAAAACTTTTAGTTTCTTCAATCCTACTGTGGTATTTTGCCATGATTTATACTACATCAACATTTGATTATAGTATCAGTTCTCGGTGTCATTTTTCATGATCAAGCAAAACCTGAATCAAACCATTTAGGCTATTGAAATGCATTCGTAACGTGCATATCACATGGAATGTGAATTCAATCTAATGTTTAAGAAGGAAAAAACAAACTGGGCTTTGAAACCTGCATATGCACAGTATACTATTGAAAGAAACAGCTGAATGAACTGACAGTCAACCACAAGCATATGAACCACGCCATGTATATGCACATACTCCCTGCTCGGTCCCATATTAGAGGAGGCAGTATAGTATGCACGTGCACGTACCATGTATATGCACATACTTCCTACTTCCAGATTCGAGAGCCTCGTCCCTCCCACTAGCATCCACAACCACGAAATTCCCTGCACATTCACTCATTCATTCACAGTTCTTGATCAGAGCTACTGTAGTTTTTTTAGCGTGGCCAAGTATAAAAGCCAAGCCATTTGGTACTAAATAAATTACTGTCCGTTCTTGATCCAGAAGCTCGTCTGGAACTTGGCGGGGAAGAGGGCGAGAGACTTGACGCCCTCGCCGTCCGTCACCTAGCACCAGCACGGCGGCAGCAGGAAGGAGTGAGGAAGAAGCAAGAAGCAATTTTGAAGAAAAGAGAGGGAAGGAAGGAAGAAGGTAAGAAGGTACCTCGATGAGGTTGGAGCCGCGCAGCGTGACGACCTGCATGATGCTCTCGCCCTCCGCCAGCGTCACCGCGGTGCCCTCCTCGCACGTGTGCTGCAGGTTCTTCCTACCGCCTTTCATCCGACGGCGCCGCAGCCCACTGACAGACGGAAGGTTCTGGTGCTGGACTCAACAGGTGTAGCGGCGGCGGCGGCGGCGAGGCCGAGCAAGGTCTTCTCTTGTTGCGGCGGCGGTCCGCTGCTCGGGTGGGGGAACTAGCTTTTTTTTTAGAATCAGGTGGGAGAACTAGCTATAGGTAGGACTGCAGCACATAACACGCCCAGCCCACTATGTATGTGGGAGTGGGCCTTCCAACCATGGGCCTTCAGCAAATCAATGGCCCCTCTAAACATTATAACACTACTTCGGTTTTTTAGGTTCACCGGGGCAAAACAAAAACAAAACAAATGCTACCACTCGACATATGTGGTAAGAAATCTAAATAATTCAAAAAATGCTAATTTCTTCAATTTAAATAATAATGGAAACTAGATTTTGTGACACCAACAGAAAAAAAACCCGGGAATTGGGTTAATTTTATTTCATGCTCGGTCTCTATGCCCGCCCCTTGGCGTAGAATGAGCTTAAGGTCCTTTTTAAAATGTTTACAAGTTCTATAAATAATAATTTTAATTCATACAATTTAATATTCTTAAGGTCCTTTCCAAAATGTTTAGGTGTAACATTTTCCAGCTCAAAACAGCGCATGTCCATGGTGTAACCGACAAAATTGGGATAGAGTGGTGGAGCTAGACGGACAGGCCCACTAAATTCATGAATCCATGTAGAGAGAATAGAGCAATTAAATTTGAGGCTGAGCTATGTGTTAAGACCATTGAACGAATTTATGAAAAATGAGGGCTTAGCCATTTGACGGCCACAAGCACTACATTACACAACATGGACACACTATAATACACAAATCTCATAACTCCTCGTGAGTGGCAACAGAACGAGTGGCTCGGAGTAGCTGGTGTGACATAATAAAGAGTGTGCACAACATAGTCACAGTGCCGACGTAAGCTGCAAACGAGTGGCTCGGAGTAGCTGGTGTAACATAATAAAGAGTGTGCACAACATAGTCACAGTGCCGACGTAAGCTGCAAAGCAGGTGAATGTCAACTAGAGGGGAGAGAAACTTCGCTGGGCATTGTGGTTCTTGTGGGTATGGACTGCAAGCCAGCCGAAAAGGGTGACGGAGCATTCTTGGTTCATGAGCAAAAGCGCCTCGCGCCCTGCAACTTGCACCTGAGATCCATGAACGCAATGTGGAGTCACTGCCCCATCATGGTGATTGCACGGGCGGAGAATAATTAAGGTGACCACCAAGCTCGTCAACCATGGTGATCCCAAGTTTTTCTTCTTGTTTGCTCTACATCTTTGTTTAGTTTGTTGATTCGCTGAATGCTACAACTTGATGATCATGTTACCATATAGCCCAGGTGTGCTGCCACGCCGTACAAAACAAAAGAGGGCACGACATCATGTTGATGCATTGTTGGATGGAACTCGGGGGGCAAAGTGTGTGGATGAACAACACTTGGCGCCCACAACTTTTTGAACATACGGTTCTTTTTTCAGATGTAATATTTATATTTGAACTATTGTTGTACTAGGATATTTGCATGCCATTTGTGGATTAATTTTCTATTTTATATAATTATTTACATGCCATTTATGGATTAATTATGCTATTTTATATAATTATTTGCATGCCATTTATGGATTAATTGTTCTATTTATATAATTATTTGCATGCTATTTATGGAGTAATGATGCTATTTTATATAATTATTTGCATGCCATTTATTCTATTTTATGTAATTATTTGCACACTATTTATGAATCATTTGTTCTATTTTATTTAAATATTTGCACGGTACTGATGAATTAATTGTTCTATTTTATTTGTTCTATTTTATTTAAATACTTGCACGGTACTGATGAATTAATTGTTCTATTTTATTTAAATATTTACATGTTATTTACGAATTAATTATACTATCTATACTGTATGTTATTATTATTTTTTTGAGATTTATCTATACTGCATGTTATGGGTGCAACTTGAGGCATCCTTTGTAAACTTGGGCTAAACGGGCTTCTAACCACAGGGAACCTCATCGTCTTGAGCGCCGGTAGCGGGCCGCGGTCCAGAAACTAGGTGTTTCCCTCGCCTCGTTCGGTGAGGCACGTTTGCACGCCAGCTGTTGCTGCTCTGCTTGTCTAAAAAAAAACTGTTGCTGCTCTGCTAGTTTTATAAGAAAACCGATTTACTAGCATTACCGGTATTCAAAAATCTGAAAATAAAATTGAAATATAAAATGTTCGCAAGTTACTAAAATGTTGTCGAATTTGAAAAAGTTTATGATTTTTTTTATTTTCAAAACTATCCTCTAATTTTAAAGCATTAAAAATTTTGGAAAATGAATTTGCAAAAACTTCATGAGTTTGAGAAAAAAATTGTGAATTTTATAAAGTAAGTTGACACATATAAAAATGTTGAAGGATTTAACAACAGATCATGAACTTTAAAAAGTTTGGAAATCTGATATTATTTTCGGAATTTGAAAAAGAATCATGAGTTTTAAAATATGTTGATGGTTTTTCTACAAAAAATATTCATGGATTTAAAACAAACATGGAAAAAAGAAAAAAAAAGGTAGACGGTGAGATGGACTCTCAAGTTGAGATGCATTGCAAGGTGACATTTTTTATTATTATTATTTTTTGAAAGAAAAGGTAGACCATGATCTACCTTATGCATTCAAAACGGGGCAAAGCCTGAATGACAAAAGTCAAATTACACCTACCTAAATGCTGCATCAAAGCAGCCGGCCTAAATGGTTTTGTTTTACAGAGCATCAAGGTAGGTAGGTCTCTATGCTCAGGGGTGGCTCGGCTCAGCTCAAAGTTGAGCCTCCAATCCATCTTCTTCTTACTCTACCAAGGTAAAACTACACCTACAAATACAGTACAGCAACGAAACCCCTCCCTACTCCTACAAACAAACAAAGTTACAGAAAAGTCAGTCACTACTCATCTCAGCTCATCTCATCTCATCTACAACAACAGAGACACACACCTAAACGCTCGCAGCCCCAGCCTACCTCACCTAACCCACCCCTTGGTCTTGTTGCTACTCGCCACCGCCGCCTGCTGCTGCTGCTGCCTCGTCACCCTGGAACCACAGACACTCTGTATCAGCTACCCGGTTCGGTGGTTTCAGAATTTACACCAGGATGGATGATCAAAGAAACCAAATACGTGCACATGCAGCACTGCTAGAAAATAACCAACCTTTGATTCTGCAGCTGATCTTTGTTGTTCCTGCTCCTTCAGTTTGACCTCCAGCTCCTCAATCTGAAACAAGAAAAGGCACATAACCAAATCAATCCAAGTCTCTTGTTGTTAATAATTCCCATTGATTGATGATTGTTATCCAGGTAAAAGATTCAGTTGAGTTCTGTACCATTTGCTTAAGAGCTGCGACCTCAGAGTCTGACTGCTGCTGCTGTCCAAGCTTACGCTCCAACTCCTCTATCTGCATGGGTAATATTATATTATCTGTCTTTCCTTAAACAATTACTACTCCCTCTGTTCCTACAGATAAGTCTTTTTAGATATTACACTATAAACTAGATACGGATGTATATATAGACATATTTTAGAGTGTAGATTCACTCATTTTGCTCTGTATGTAGTCCATAGTGGGAATATCTAAAAAGACTTGTATTTAGGAACGGAGGGAGTAGCTGTTAATGACATTAATTAACCACTTCCAATTCCTACGTTACCTTGTGCTGTAGCGCACTACATGCTTCTTCCTTCTCCTTCAGTTTTCCAGAAAGCTGATTCTGGTGCTTTTCTGACGTAATCTGAGAATGCATCTTAGAGTCTAATTGGCTTTCAAGCTCCTTCACCTTCAATCAAGTTATTACACAAAGTCTGTCAGCCACAATTTACAAGTGAAGAAAAAGCAGTCTAGAAGAATCAACACAAAATTCAGTCACAAGATATTTGAAACTGAAATATTAGCCTCCTCCTCAATTGCACAGACATACCTTGTCTTGCAAGTTTTTGTAAAGCTGCTCTTTTCCCTTGGCTTTATTCTCTAAATTTTGACACTTCTCTTCCAGCTTTCTCAAAGATTCCTCCTTTAGCTTGGCTTCCTGCTTAGACCTTTCAAGTTGTCACACGTTCACCCACCAGAAATACCCATCAGTTCAGCTTCAAGCATTCACAGAACTAACAAGCTTCAGGAATATCAACACTCACCATCTGTTTGACCTTTTGAAGCTCGGCTGTGTCGACCTGCTTCTTTGCTGGGCCCAGTTCTATACCACGGACATGGCTAGCAAAGTTCAACGAACTCAAGGTTTCCGACGCGTCGTTGTCGGATGGGCTAATTTGCACAAACATTACAACTTTCGAATCGCCTCCTGTTACCGCAATTGTGGAGAAGAACAGAGAAGAACAAATTAATCGTGTGGCCAAGTGAGAGAATGCAGAGGAACAGAAATGGTCAATATTTGTTATATTGTTCATATGGTATTTGTTCCAGAGCAACAAACAGATCAATTTACCTAAAGAGTCTTGGAGCAAGTGCGTCAATTTGGAATTCCTGCGCACAAGAAAAGTATCAAGACAGTAAGAAAATAGGAGCTGATAGGTGCAAACCCGTTACTGACTCAGAGTGCAAACCTGTAAGGAATGCGGCTGCTTCTGGAAGCAAGAGCATAAATGACATCGCCTAAAGCAGAAAGCGACCTGTTGATATTTTGTGCTTCCTTGAGCCGACCACCTTGCGCGTCTGTCTTGGCTAACCGCTCGCTTCCAGCAAGATCTACTAACCAGAGCTTACTTGTTGTACAGCCCCCATTTATCAGGTTCTTTGCTCTAACCATGATACAAAGCATGCTGAAAACAAATTATAAAGGTCAAACCATTTTTACCACAAGCAGGAAGGTACTCCACGGAGAAATGAAAAATAATGTTAATTATGACCAACCAGTGTGAGCGACTGCTGTGTTCATTCACATTGTTTGACCCTGTAGCCCTCGAATTGCTTCTAGTTTGTA